GGGGTTGGTACTGTGTAGTATCAAAGGACCGGACAAGAGTCCCGTTTTGAGCTAGGTTTCGCCAAATATTTTTTCAGTTTTGGCGGTAACCCTGGCGGTAGGTCATGTCAAGGAACCAACTCAACCAAAAGCTCAAGCTTGTGGTTGTGGCCCAGAAACAGTTATTTATATTCTAACACGCCCCCTCACGTGCAGGCGTAGTCTTTTTCGAGCCTTGCACGTGAAACCTTAATTTTTTTAACTGGGTGACGCTGAGTTTCGAACCCGTGACCTCTTAGTCAACGAGGCTCTGATACCATGTCAAGGAACCAACTCAACCAAAAGCTCAAGCTTGTGGTTGTGGCCCAGGAACAGTTATTTATATTCTAACAGGTCATACCATGGCCACAGTACATTGGTACCGCACGACACCTGCCTACCGAGCAGGGTACTATGACCATTGGCTGCGCTGTAGCTGATTGCTGAATTCAAATTTAAATTATCCCTAATCACTCTCCAACAATTCTAAACGGCTTCTAAGAATTTTTAACCATTCCTAATCCTATATAAATACCCTCTAAGTCTCATTTTTAATACAACATCCCATAACATTTGAAAGTCTTCTTATACTATTTTTGAGTGTTCTTGAGCTTTATTCTTAACTTTTTTCATCCCTCTTTTGAGTTTGAGCTTTTATTATTTTTATGCACTCACACACAAGAGAATTTGTTTTTCATTATTTTATATCTTGCCCATAGACTATTGTTGTTATTGATTTTATATTTTGTTCTTCTCCTACCCAATTCATATTATTTATTCTTTGGTAGAGAATCAACACCATATTCTTCTTATTTTTTAAAAGGTGTGGATAGCCTTTAAATCCTCATTGAGTTAAAAGGTTGAAGATAGCCTTAAAATCTTCATTTGTAAAGCGGTCGAGATAGCCGTTGAAAGATCCCGTTATTTATTGGCAAGGGTTGTTTGCACAATCTCATTTAGGTCTTCTTAGTGAAGTCAAACAAGATAGTGGAGGTTAAATCCTTGAGGGGGAGCCTCGAGGTATTGGAGTAGGAAGTTCCCGAGCCAATATAAAATCGTTGTGTCGTGCTCTTTTCTTTCTTATTATTTTCCTTTCTCTTTTTCTGCTATTTACTTTCGTTTAAGTTTTTACATTGCGAAAAACTTTTAAACACCCTAATTCACCCCCCCCCCCCCCCTCTTAGGGTGTAACCAAATATCATCAGGTGTAAACATCTTCCTCTTACCGTCATGTAACATACAAGATTATGGAATCAATACGAGATTCAAATCGGGACAAACAAACCATTAACGAGTATTGTAGCTGCCTGTACGGTACGTGTCACGGTACCTCGGTATTGCCTCGCGGTACCTTAGTACCAACGATCCGGTACTGCCCTACCGTTCAACACAGACCCCGGCAGCAACGAATGGCCTAGTGTCGGGTATAAACACCCTCCACTTACCGTCATGAAACATACAAGACTATGGAATTCATACGGGATTCGAATCAGGACAACAAACAATTAACGAGGATTGCAGCTAGCGGTACAGTACCTGTCACGATACCTTGGTACCATCGATCTGGTATCGCCCTACCATTCGTCACCAAAAGAAGCAAATGGCCTGAGGTGGTAGTCGGGTACTGTTAGGCGGTACCTAGCTACCGTCTGACGTCGGGAATCGGTCCGAATCAGGATTCATAGAAGCTGACTGGTCAGATTCAAATATATCAAAATGGAAGGTTTGAACTTAAAAATAGACTACCGATCGGGTTTGAAAAAGTCAATCGATACAAAATATAGACCTACCGGTCAGAGTACGTGACTTCAAGCTTGTGGTCTTCTGCCCATTCAGAACGCAGAAGAGAGGTAAGTCTACCGGGCAGGTTACTACGGTGTGAAAGTGTCGGAATGAATTTTCAACGAAAGATTGCGAGAATATTCCAACACCATCAGTTGGGCGCTACACGCCGAAGGAGGTATCATGAGCATAAGATGATAAGTGAATAAGACAAAGCGCTACAGGACAAGAGGAAGTCACCTCGCGCCGTATGAGAACATGGGCTGATGTGGACGCGCAGTGCTCTGTACCATCCATTTCATTATAAATACCTCTGTAACACTCAAATGAAGGGATCTGAACTTTATCTCTCTAGAGCATATTGTGTAATAACAATTTGACTACAGGTGTTCCCACCAGTCATACCGGCCATTCTCTTTTTTCCTGCACCTTTCTTTCTCTAAATTCAGCAAACTATCCTAGACTTTGTCTAATACAATTTGTCCAGGTGGTTAACTTACACAACAGGATCCAGGTTTAGAATTAAATTTCAAGACTAATCGAGTAAACAAGTACCCTACATGTCAAGATCAATTTTTTTTAAAAAATATATGTATAGAACACTACGAGTCGGCTCGAACTCAACCCATTGATAGACCTAGTAAAGAAAGAGGATGGACGATAACTTTGGGGAACAAAAGTTGTTGTATTGAATTCGTCTTTATCTAGAGTCAGTCGGTACAAGTTAATGCGACTTAGTCAACAAAGAGGAAATCAAAAGAAGACTCAAGGATGATAATTATTTGAAGATATATATTGTCAGTGCATTTAACCGACGCAATTCGCATCATCCGCAGGCACATGATCGATGATGAGGATGTAATAAAATAAAATAAAATAAAATAAAATACTGTACATTAACAATGAGAAGGTTAATTACTTTAATTTTATTCGTATGGAGAGAGGGAGGAACATACATTACATACATATACTCCGTGTTTGAATTCGTAACACACATTCCATGATACGCTGCTTCCTCCATATCCGTTGCATATTCAGTTCATTTATGAAGAAATATACGGGCTAAGCAATACCTATTTTATATTTTATGTTAATAGAGATGTCGCTAGATAGGAGTAAAAAAGTTTGAAAATGCCAAAATATGAATCCTATGTCTTTTTAAAAGTGATGACAGTATAATATGTTAGTGTGATTAGTCAATCGTCGGAGATTTGCAACGACACTCTTGTGACTGGCAGCGACGGATGACAGTGTGACGACGGTGATAGTGTGGCAGTTGTGAACTCCTATTTTGGTTTTAAAAGATCTATAATTTTTATTTTATTTCATAGTTTTTTAGTTATATCTAGGGAGTTCATATTAATGTAGGTGCGAGATTGATGTCTTACATTGACACAAAGTTTTGACAATTTTAGTATCATCAGCTATTTTATTTGAGTGAGTTTACTTAGATCAGACAAGAGTTTGAATAGACGTTGTCAAATGAGTTAGGAGATGCGAAATGTGCACTCATTTAATGATATTACAAATTCATAGCGTGGTCTGGGGGCGGCCGCCCCCGGTAGCGGTATCCAAGGGGCAACAGCCCCCGGTAGCGGGGTCTAAGGGGTGGCAGCCCCTCACGGGGTCCAAGGGGCAGATCCCTAGTCAGGGTCGAGACATCTTGAAATTTTTTATTTTTGGACATTATTGCTTTATGAAAATGCTTCAGATTTTTGTGAACGGAGTCTGAAACCTCAAAGATTCAGACGTATGGACAAAATGTCAAATTGACTCTAAAAACCAAAGAAGACTCTTCGCGCGATTGTTCCTAGGATTACCGTGTCTATCTCTTCGTGCGAACGTTCACATCTTTACGCGAACGTTCATGTCTGGTCTCCAAATTTTTGACTATATAAAAGAGTCTCGCTGGCATGGTTGATGAAGCTATTCGAAGTACTGCTCTTGATTAACGTATTATCCCATTAAATTATTTTGGTATTCCTGAAAATTTTGATCGAAAAGTATTTTCGCGATTAGTTAAACTATCAAGTCGTAATTCTTGTTGTTTGTTCATAATTCTTCAATGTTGCTTCGGAATGTTCATCTTCCTTCATATAAAATTCTTACACAAAATGGTTGTACAAAACTTTGTGATCACACTAACATTTTGTGTCAATTTAAGTCATCAATGTAAGTATAAACAATTGGGATACATTTTGAGATACACCATTCGAGGTATGTACACCTAGCATGTTTGTATATTGATAGGCTCTCTTTCTTCTGCAATCGACGCGCCGCCCTCCTGTGGTGCGGCGCGGCCTTTTCCCCTCTCCATTGTACCTACCCTAAGGTTGTGGGGTCGAAAAAAAGGGAGATTGAATTGGGTATAAAACATTAGGTAGTGAGGAGGTTTGAGGAAAAAGAAAAGAAAAAAGAGAGGGAAAGACTGGTCAGCAGGATTTGGAGCATCTCTCAATACAGCCATGTCCCCCAACATCGTATATTCGTTATCCTTTGATTACAAAATGTCTGCCCATAATTTACTCCCTTCACTTCAAAAAGATTTACTTTTCGTCCCTTCACTTCAAAAGTTCCGAGAGAATTTTTTTTAAATTTTATTGTACATATATACTACGTAGTCAATAATATTAAAAGAAAAACCCTTTTTAAAAAATCTTCTTCTTCAAACTTCTATTTAGGAGATACAAAAAAAGAATGTCACTCCTTATTTGTTATTTTTGGTCGCATTTTACTCCCATCTAGAACCAATATTTCTACTGTATAAATCATTGTATGTATTAGAATACTACTACTTCCTTTGTCTCATACTCCTTAAAAAAACTTCTTTATATACCTTCTTTCATACATTCAGGAACAAACTTTACTTTTCTCTTAAAGAAACAAATTAGTGGCTAATAAAGAACTCTTGTCACTTTCTTTAAAAAATTAATTCTAATAACACTTTTTAAATATTTTTTAAAATCCTTGAAAATTAAACTAAATGATTTTGTTTTTATAAAAGGTAAGGAATATTTATTTGTCATACAAAAAAGAAGTTAAAAGTGCTCCAATTTATGATATGTCAGTTAGGACTATTTTGGAGGACCCCAAAGATGGAAATTTCATCATCCATTTACAAAATGCCAAACAACTCACTCACTCACTGTGTGAAATTACAATTGTCTCCCACGTACCCATAAAAAGTCCATAGTCCGATCCCATCCCACGAATAATATATCCTCTCCTCCCCCAACTCACATCATACCCACCGGCCACCGGAAAATTCAAAACAAAACAAATGGACTACTACTACTACCGCTGCAACAACGGCGGCGACGGAGGTATCCCAAACGGAGTTTCCATTTCATCTTCTTCAAACCCGCCGTCATCGTCGAAAGTGAGGATGATGAGGAGGAGCGCTTCCCTTTCCCAAAGGTTCGTCGCCGGCGGCGGCGGCGGCGCGTCAGTGGACGATCCTTCTCCTCCTCCTCCTCCGCCGGCGTCCACTCTGCTTAGGAGCTATTCCCTCAAGAACCCGGCGGCGGCGGCGTCCAAGTCCTCCTCCGGCGGCAAGAACTTCGTCCGCAAGTGCAAGAGCATGGCCAAGGAGCAGAAGGCGAAGCTTTACATAGTGAGGCGCTGCATATCTATGCTCGTCCGCCGGGAAAAGCACAGCGACGATGACGGCGACGGCGAGGAAGATGATGATGGTTATAGTATATAATAAATGCATATCCGGTCCAGATTTCAGACCTTAGATCGGTGAATCACGGTTTAATCTTAGTCCGTCAGCCTTCTCACATGTAGTCTCATGCCTATATTTAGCAAAATGAGTCAGTAATAAGCATTGCGTAGTTGACAAAGACAAGGAATGTTAAGAGGATAAGATTCAAGTTCGATGTGATGATGAATACTACTCCCTCTGCTTTACAAAACACTTTCGCCCTAATTTTTTGCGTATTCTTCAAAAACACTTTTTTATCTACTTAAAATGTTTAAAATACACCCCAATTTTATACTCCCTCCGTCCCAAAATATAAGCAACATTACGCTAAACGAAGTAATTTTTTGATTTTTTTCAATCCATTTTATTTAAAGAATGGTCTACAAATGAAAAATAAAACTTACATATTTAAAAACTACGTCAAAAGTTCTATAAAACAAGTGGTGACAAGAATATTTTATTCTATTAAATAATCAATGAAAATGCAAAAATAAATAAAAGTTCCCGGGATTTTTAAATAGTGGAGTATTGCTTATATTTTGGAACGGAGGGAGTAGTTTATTACGAGTATGAGTTATTTGGGGGATAATTTAGACATTTCGAATAAAGTGTTTTTTTAGAATTGGTAAAAGATTAGAGCGGAAGTATACCTACACTGACTCAAAACCTCACTAGTGGAGTTACTATTACATGTAGTCCTGAATCCAAGTGTACCCTGGACTACCCTCTTACATTTTTCTTATAAACACCTTTATGTCAAATTTTTTTAAGAAAAATTACATGTCAATTATATTAGGGCTTTTCTATGGTGTCATTGTAACTTTATGAACATGGATGCTACTCCAACAAATGGACATGCGTCTCAATATATTGATATTAACTTAGTTGTTACATGTATCATAAAACACTCGTTATTGAAATCGATTTCCCAAACCAAATTATCTGAAAGTAAAATTGAATTATCTTAAAAATGAAGATCTGATCTATAAAATGTACTACCTTCGTCCCGTAAAATTTTTCCTATAATGACTTTTGGAATGAGAAATTGTACTTTGAAAAAGTTATCCGAAAATTAATTTACATCATTAAAATTTTATCTAAAACACCAACGCTAATTAAAAAAATATTATTCCCAAACAAGGCCTAAGATGGGGCAAGGAGAAGGGGCGGGTAAGGGGTGGTCGAAAGGTGGGGCATGGGGTGGATGGGGGCGAGGCGAGAGCGAGGCATGTAGGCGGGGACGGAAAGTGAGTGAAAATCTTCCTCCAAAAGTTTAAAAAAAACATTATTGTCCTTATTGAAAGAAATTTAAAATTGAAATTTTGCAAATTGATTGGGCAAAAAGTCAGATTATAAATTTGATTAAGCCCAATTAAAGCGTACCACAATCCTACTACCATTGGGAAAAACTAAACTTTCTATGCGCAATACTCCGCATATAAAAGTACAACTAAGCGTATTTTCAAGAAAACAATTAAAGTTCATCACACTATATTCAAGAAAACCGAAACGATAATGGACGCCGGAGTAGGGATGGGCGTGCTGAAGAAGAAGCTCGACGAAGCCAAGACTCAGTACTACCACTTCAAGGCCGTCGTGATCGCCGGAATGGGTTTCTTCACCGACGCCTACGACCTCTTCTGCATCTCCCTCGTCACCAAGCTCCTCGGCCGCATCTACTACCACGTCCCCGGCTCCCCCAAGCCCGGCACCCTCCCCCCCAACGTCTCCGCCGCCGTCAACGGCGTGGCCTTCTGCGGCACCCTCGCCGGCCAGCTCTTCTTCGGGTGGCTGGGGGACAGGATGGGGCGGAAGCGGGTCTACGGCCTCACTTTGGTCATCATGTTCTGCTCCTCCGTCGCCTCCGGCCTCTCCTTCGGCTCCTCCCCCCGCACCGTCATGGCCACCCTCTGCTTCTTCCGCTTCTGGCTCGGCTTCGGGATCGGCGGCGACTACCCTCTCTCCGCCACCATCATGTCCGAGTACGCCAGCAAGAGCAGCCGCGGCGCCTTCGTCGCCGCCGTCTTCGCCATGCAGGGCTTCGGGATCCTCACCGGCGGCGCCGTCGCCATGCTCGTCTCCGCCGCCTTCGACCGCGCCTACAAGGCCCCGCCCTACGAGGCCGACCCGATCGCCTCCACGGCTCCCCAGGCCGACTATGTGTGGCGGATCATACTCATGGCCGGGGCGCTTCCGGCCGTGCTGACGTGGTACTGGAGAACAAAAATGCCTGAAGCCACTCTGGACGCCAATAAGGCGGAGAGGGCGGCGGTGGACATAGAGGCAGAAAGGGTAGAATCCAATCCCCCTGGAAAATCACCGCCGCCGCCGTTGTTTGGAGTCATCTCAAAGGAATTTGCCCGGCGGCACGGGCTGCACCTGGTGGCCACGTGCACCACGTGGTTCTTAGTGGACATGACGTACTACAGCCAGAACTTGTTCCAGAAGGACATCTTCAGTGCGGTGGGGTGGATCCCGCCAGCGAGGACGATGAGCGCGACCATGGAGGTGTTCAAGATCTCCCGGGCCCAGACGCTCGTCGCTCTCTTAAGCACCGTCCCGGGGTACTGGGTGACGGTGCTGACCATCGACAGGCTGGGCAGGTTCGCCATCCAGATGATCGGCTTCACCATGATGACAGTGTTCATGTTCGCGCTGGTCATCCCTTACACCCACTGGTCCATTCCGGGCCAGCAAATCTGGTTGGTCGTCCTCTATGCCTTCACCTTCTTCTTCGCCAACCTTGGGCCCAATGCCACAACTTTCATGGTACCGGCGCAGATATTCCCGGCAACACTGTGGCCCACCTGCCAAGAAATATCGGCGGCTTTCGGGAAATTAGGGGGAATCATGGGGTCATTCGGGTTCTTGTACCTGGCTCAGCCGCGGGACAAGTCCAAGGCAGACGCTGGGTACCCCGCCGGAATCGGGGTGAGGAATTCTCTCATCATCTTGGCTGTCCTTAACTTTCTAGGCATTTTGTGCACTCTCTTGGTCCCTGAATTAAAGGAAAAATCTCTCCAGAACCTGTCCAGAGACGACAACGAAGAAGAAAGACTGTGTTAACAAGCAGCAGCAGCAGCTAGAGGAGAAGAAAGCGAATACGGTGGAGGGAAACGGAACAATGGCGTCATCTATTCCACATGACACCGCACTTCTCTTTTTAGTTGTCGTTATATGTCATTGCAGTGCCATTAAGGCAATCGGCCAGACATGTCACCACACTCCTACGAACCATTGCGGTCTCCATCAGAGTACCAAAACAGTGCCAAAAGTAACACACTATAAATTAAACATACTAACAACATTAAAGTAATACTGTTTCACCTCACATGGACTCAATGCCCACCATGCACCAAATTGAGGCGGATGGACTTAGACGGGATTCAGATCTGAAGAGAGCGACCAGAACACAGGTGGGAAGCCAATGTAGCCATGTAGGTTTGTTCAGAGCGTTTGTTCATTTTTATGGTTGTGTTCTTCAGGTCTTCGTTTTAATCAGATCAAAAGCATTGTTTTATCACGCATGTCTCTCCCTGAATACCAGGGAAAAAAATCAAATCTAGATATAACAACAACAACAACCCAATTGGATCCCAAGAAAAATCAAATCTTAATGATGAAATTGGGATTTTGAGAGTACGATGGCTTTGACGTAAGCAATGACTTTCAATCAGATGGCGTCAATTGTGCTGTCGTTCATCAGTGTCAATATGAAGTTTGACTCAAAGTTTATACAATAAATCAATTATATAGCGATGACTTTCAATCAGATGGCTAAGAACTTTGCAAAGTACACCCAAATTAAATTAATGTCAATATATAGTTTGACTCAAACTTCATAAAATACGGAGTAAAAAATTAATAGAAGCAGACTAGAATACAAGAACTACCATAATGAATGCAGAGAATAAGAACTTCGTTATTACTGTGTGTTATCTATTATTATCCTCCCTAGAGCTTTTGCAAAGGGAAGCACGGAGCAACGATACTCAAAATTTCGCACAACCAAAGGTTTCGTCTAGATGTCATCTCAGTGTGGTCGGGTAACCTCATAGATACAAATTCTTTCTATAATTCGTAAAAAAAAAAGATCATGCTATAATAACACCAAGAATTACAACAAAATTGACACCACTAGTTATAACAACATCAAGATTGACATCATGTCATGTTTTTATAAATGATATGAATCATATGATGGATCATTTTCAGCACTCAACGTGTTTATATGGCCATATGATAGATCATACAGTGCTACTAATTAGAAAATGCATACTTTTTTATAGCTAAGTGAGCAGATTACACTTGTGCCTTTCATTCCTCAAAAAAAAACTTGTGCCTTTCATTTTCACGGAATTTTCTTTGAACTTTTAAGTTATTATCAAATTTAGCCTTGCTAAGAGATTTTGGAAGCATTTTTAAGCCCACTTCTTCACAGTATGTTTTCCCTCCATCTTTTTCACAACATAAAATTAGAAAACACCACTTATGTTGTTTGTTGAAAGTGGAATGACTTGGGATTGGAACCGATAGTATGCAAATGCAATATCACTCTACCGTTTAAGCTAATAGGAAACAAAATAGTTTTCAAGGTCGAATAATCCTTAAAAATATGATTGTCTGCTCCCGCTTTGCTCTGAATTTTTTTTAGCTGAAAGCCCCAAATGGTAAAATAACAAAAGATCATTGCCATGTGACTGTGTAGTGCAACTTATATAGCTTAACAGTGCAAAAACAAGTTTCTCATAATCAGTCAAACCAAAAGAGTGCAACAAATACATAGCAACTCACTTCCCAAACTATTCCAAATAAATGCAGCAAACAGGCCCTTCCCAAACATGTAATGCTTCTCCCAACCTATGTTGCACGGATCCTTCAAATAGGTGCCACTTCCCGTACCCAAAACGTCCCCGGTCGGGTACTTGGGGGCGTCCCCACACCCAAATCCGTTATAAATTACAATAAAATGGTGTTTCACGCTTCTGACCCCGCCCCCGTATAAGTCCCTGTCCACGTCTTGGTGCGACTTAGCATGTAACACCCTAAATTTAAAGATCTGATAAATAGGATAGAGAAAACCACCTGATAATCTAATCAAACAAATTCAGAGCCCTAAATCTTAACTCTTACGATATAGAAATACCTTCTCCCACAATTTTTATTGTTCTTGCGAATTCGGAGTGTCGAAATGTGTCCACAATCACATCCAACGATCGAAATTTGCCATCTTCGATTGAAGGATAGAATGCCCTGAACATATTCACCATATCAAAATCTGATGATTTAATCGAACAAATAATATTCCTAAATCCAAAATAGAATATTAACAACAAAATCCAGTTCGTGCGTGAACAAAGCATGTTTGTCATCTGAAAATCCGATAATATAATCGAACAGATCATTTCCCAAATCCCAAATTAAAAGTTTACTACAAGTCTTCAACTCAAATTTACCTTTATTAAAGTACAATGTCAAACGGTGAACCCTAATCTGAAGGGTTGTGCCATGGGTTTCATATGATCATATCCATGGGGGACAAATCGATTTGGTTAAAAATTTATGTAATGTTTTTATTTTAACTAATTTTGATTTTTATAAATCAAAAAAAATTACTAAAAAAATATTGGGCGTGATTACACTACAAAAAAGGGTAGTAGCGACAGATCCTTAGGGACAGAAACTTTTTTTGTCGCTAAAAAGAGAATATTACCGACAGATAAAATTATTTGAAGGTAAAAACTATTTGACCCACAGAAAGAGTAATATCTGTCGCTATTGGTTGTAGTTTTAGCAACAGACTTTTATCTGTCGGTATTGCTTATAGTTTTAGCGACAAAATTTTATCTGTCAGTATTGTTTATAGTATTAGCAACAAAAAATGTATCTGTCGATACTGTTTATAATATTAGCAACAAACATTTATCTGTCGGTATTGTTTATAGCTTTAGCAACAATGTTTTATCTGTCGGTATTGATTTTATTGACATTTAATTTAAATATCTTAATTATAAAAAACCATAAAATTAGGCATCATTTAGTACACGAAATTGAGGTCATGAAATTGGGAATGAAAGACCTCAATTTGAATTTTTTTATTTGGTCGCACAAAAATATATGATATTGGAAATGAATTATAAATTTAAAAGATAAAAAATTAAAAATTAAAGATTAAAAATAGTTTTTTTACATTGAATATTTACAGATTAAAAATTATAATTTTTAATTTTAGATTTTTAAGTTATAAGTTAAATTAAAGGACTAAACTGACCGAATAAAATCAAGACATATGATAAAAGAACAAATCAACAAATTAAAATCGAGAAGGATGAAAACGCTAGTGGAGATATGTATAATTATTCACATTATTGATGTAAAATAATAAGGTAGAGATTCTTAACCATTTCCAATGCGGTTAAAAGATTTGTCAATCAACCGCAAATCGTAAACCAAAAATCAGGGGATTAAGGCTCTGTTCCGTACGCCTGATCTGATTGAATCTGATCTAAATTTTTGAAGTTCTGATCTGATCTGATTTGATTGGGTCTGATCTGTTCTGATAAGATCTGATCTGATTAGATCTGATCTGATTGGGTCTGATCTGATCTGATTGAATCTGATCTGATCTGATTGGATCTGATCTGATTGGATCTGATTTTCAATAATATCCCTTTCACCTCTATCAATTTTGTCATAAACTCACCCTTGTGTATATTATACCATTTTAAAGTTTAAAAGTAAATCTTTTTAAGTATAAAATATTTATAGTTTTGAAAACTAAGTGTTGTATAATTATTTTATAAACAAGTATTATAAAATAACTCTTTTTAAAGTATGAAAAATAAAACTTTTTAAACTTTAACATTTCTTCCATGCATCATTTCTATCCTACAAGCTAAACAATTATTAAAAATAATGGTTTGTAGTTGAAATATAATAATAATAATAATAATAATAATAATAATAATAATAATAATAATATAACATTAATAATATTTAAAATTATAATATTAATTAAGTTTTAGGTGTGTGTAGTTTTAAATAAAGTAATGTGATTTAATCAAATAATAGTAATTATTATTTAATCCTTGAAAAATATAAATATTATCTTTTATATTTTTTCTTGATTTGATATTATTGGATTTAATCTGGTCTGATATGATCTGATTGGATCTGATCTGATCTGATTGGATCTGGTCTGATCTGATTGGATCTGGTCTGATCTGATTGGATCTGATCTGATCTGATCTGATTGAATCTGATCTGATCTGATTGGATCTGATCTGATCTGATTGGATCTGATCTGATCTGATTAGGTCTGGTATGATGTGATCTGATCTGATTTTAATAAGAATAAGTAATAAGTAGAAAAAATAAGTCCTACGGAACGGACCCTAAGCGTGAAACTGGAAACCAAAAATCGAAACAACTGCCATATCAAGTCTGCATAAAAATGCTAACAAACAGGGTATTCATAGCTAAAAAAGTGTAAACAAGTAGGAAAAAGACCCCAAAAAGACAAAACTGCAAAATTAACGATCTAAAAAGCAAGATTTTGGGTTGAAGATGGATCCCGATGGTCTTTGACCAATCAGGCCCCTGGGCGTCTCGCCAAGACGTTTCTGGAAAGGGGTAGACTACTAAAATCAGACACCCAATAGCCAAAGTTATGGTCCAAAGAGTGTGGCAATCCAAAATGCTTCAATTTCCTGCTAGGCTTGTGGACCTTCATAAATGCTAACTAATCATTTTTAAGTGTTGAAATAAACATTTCTAAAATTGAAAAAAATATGTGAGAAGATCCATGTGAACTATAGGCCCACCATAGAAACACTCTTGTGCGATAAGTATAAATGAGATGATTCCAAGTATATTTTTTAAGGGAATGAAACAATTAAGGAGTATATATTTGAAAAAATGAAACTAAAAAAGTGAGAAAGATTGACAAATTACAAAAAAGTTAAATTTAGAGACCCAAATTGGGCCCAAATAAACTTCAAATTCATGGATTAATTAAACTTTGTGGTGCTGATTCCTCTTCGTATTCGATCCATGTGACCAGCGACGGTTCCAGCCACGATCGCGCGACCAACGACATCGGAGACCCTTCTTTTCCTTTGAGACGGCGACGGCGTCCATGTGCACCGACGGAAGAAGTGAGCTGCGGCGACAACAGATCTTGACAATAGATTCCGAGGCATGACCCGAGCACCAGCAACCTTGTTGAGTTCCAGCTACGTCCGATCTATGGAAAACAGGTCCAAGGCGGTAGCTGCATATTCTATTGACTCTGACAGAGTCCGGGAAGCAGTGACAGTTTTCGTGAATGCCATCAGCGCTCTGACGACCCTCCGAGAATGCTCGTCTACTAGGTATATCATATATACTTATGGATTTATGTGTTGTGGACCTGTTTGTGAATTTGGGAAATTTCAATTCTGTTGATTGGTTTCAAAGTAGGCTTCATATTAGACTGATTTGTGTTAATTATGAAATTATAGATAGTCATGTTAGAAAAAATTAATTCTGCCGCTTTGATGCAAATTGGTCAAAAGAGATAATTGAGGAACAATCTACTGTCTTAATTCCAAAAATGAACCAAAGGAGATATTTTGGGTTCATTTCATTGCAATTAGTGAACTTTACAAAGTCTGAACTGGTGTCACCTTTATTTATTTGCTGAATTGCAGTTTGACACATATGGGAATTGGTCTTTCTGGAGGCCATTCTGATGGGCACTCGAATATGAGCTCTTGCCAGATTTACTTGACATTTCCTACTGATAGCACAATTAGTGAAGATGGTTTTTCTAACTACTATAGGTAATCAATTGATTATGAAATTATTATACCATGCGCTAGCTTTGCATGTTCATTTGATCTCATCTTTTGTTTTAAGTCTTTCTCGACCTGTGGAAGATGTTAATGTATTTTCTTTGTCTCATTTGTTCTTTTATATGACCAAGAATGTTTCATAAGTCAAAGAAAGCTACACTGAGATGAATGTTAGAGCAGGAAGCTCAATTGTAGAAAGCCATCTAGAAACACAATAGAAGGTTAAGAGATTTGAAACTTATGGATGAGAAGAATACTAACGAACGTAGCTGTGATGAGTTCAATACTGGCTCTTCGCCCATCCTTCCACTATTTCGCTCATCAAGTTACATCAGGTTAGTTCTTTATAGTCTCCTTTTGCATTTTACTAGAGATTAAATTACCATCTATGCTTTGCTCTATGTTTAAGTTTTTTATCTTCTTTGTTTGAAAATTGGAAGAAATGAGATTTTTTCTTCTTTGAGTTGTATTCTTCTTTGTTTATCTTCTGTGTTGAATCTTTGGTTGGACTATTGGAGACTTGATAGATTTGTAAAATCAATATGAAGTATTCTTCTGTGTACTCCGTATACTGAGGTAGTATTTCTGTGAGGTACTCTATACAAGCATTCTTTTGTGTTTATCTTCTATGCTTGTAAAATATGTTCAAAGTATTAATTTGACAAATTCGTAGTAATGGTCTGATAAGGTTTGGCCTCAGATGTGTGTAACTAAGAGCATGAAGAAACAAAAGAGAGACTCCAAAATTTAGAATATGTAGTATCATTGCTTTTAAATACCCTGGTTAGTGTCTATTTATCATTGTTAACTACCCATATTTCATTTGATTTTTGTTTAGTTCATTATATAGTTTAAAGTTATGCCACCTAGCATGAGTGTAAGGTGAATTTGGTGCAAAATTTGTAATTACGTTATCACGTGCTTATACTTTTTTTGCATAGGGTTCAATGACTAATCAATCTAAATTCGATGGCCTTACAATTGACGGTAATACAACCACTAAGAAAAGTCATGATGAGGATCGATGGACCAAAGATGATGAAGCTGAGAGCGATGAACTTGAAGATGTAGACAGTGGCGAGCATTAAAGCTTTGGACAATATTTTCCATATCAATGCGTATTTTAATTTAGTTCACTTTGACTGTTTATACTTTAGCGCAAATGATGAACTAATTTTGAGATATTGGTTTACTTTCTAGTAAATGGGTTAGTTGTAACTCTTTGAAATGTTATCGTATTATGTATTGTTGTTAATACAAGTATGATTATTATTTTTTATTTGTCAATAAAATTCTTTGATATCACTTAAATAGAGCATGTTGGTGTGAAATATGGTAGTAGTAACCGTTATAATAAATGTTAATATTGGTCAAAATAAAGTATTACCGACACAAAAAAATGTTTTACTCACACAATTTTTTGTGGATAATCCAACTTTTAGCGACAGTTATAATAAATGTTAAAGTTGGTAAAAACAAGGTATTACCGACAGAAAAGAATGATTTACTCACACTATTTTTTGTCGGTAATCCATGTTTTAGCGACATATATATTTTGTCGGTACTCCTCTCTTTTTTAGCGACATCTTTGGTCTGTCGCTATTATACTATTTTAGTGACAGTATATTTTATCTGTCGGTAATACTTTTACTGACGGAGTTTTTAGCGACAGCGTAGCGACAGACAATTATCTGTCGGTAAAAGCGAGTAGCGACAGATATTCAACCTTTAGCGACATATTGACCCCTGTCGATATTGCCCCCTTTTTTTGTAGTGTTAGGGCTGTAAACGGATAATATCCATTACGGATACGGCATATCCGAATCCGAATATGGTTAGGTTTTGAGATATCCGAATCCGTATTCGAATCTGACGGATATTTACATTTCTATATCTGAATCCTTACCGACGAATAATTTTCGATTTCGGATAAATCTGAATCCGATTAGCTATCCGAAACCGGTCAAGTACCCGAAATCC